CAGTAAGCTGCCAAGGTGAGACGCTAGGCGGCAAGATCAAGATCCACCCTAACCCGCAGGTACACAGTGCTCAGGGCTCCAGCCAGGAGGGGGATTAGTGAGTTTGGGGACACCTTCGCTCACAATTTACACACATCATTAGTCATACACCGTTACAGTCCTTCCGCCCTCAGCCCAAAGGTTGGTAACGTTGTCTGCTTTGCTGATGAGAAAATGGAAGCGTGAGGTTAGAAGGTCTAAGGTTCCGGGCTGTCTGTGCTCTTTGATCACGAAGGAGCCAAGAGGTATGGAAAACCCCGGCGGGCGGAAAATACGGATTACCAGCAACAGTGGGTCTCTTCCTAATCACGCTGGATGCTATCACACTGATTTGTGCCCTAGTTGCTCAGAGGCCAGACTGCCAGCCTGGCACAAAGTGACGGCTGAGGAGGAAGAAGACAGGAAGGAAGTCCTCAAGTGGGAGGTGGCCTGCGCCGCGCCTACCCTCCCTGTTTCACGGATCCACGTGAGCCGAGCTGCTTCTCACGAGACAGGAGGGCAGAAATTGCGCTCAGGGTCAGCTTCCTGGGAAGAGGTGCCACACCTATGCCACACAGGTCCCCACCCCTGTCCCTCCCTCCCCTCCTGCCCTGTGTCACCCACACTTACCCATACCCAAGGCCTGGCTAGTGCCCCTCCTGCACCCACCCGCCCACAGGAGTCGTTCGGGGTCAGACAGAGCCTCTGTCCCCACCACAAGTGGCAGAAGGCACAGGGCAGAGGTTCCAACCTCTGACACAGGAGCCCCAGACCAATCCCAGGCCCCTGACTGGCCCTGCAGGACTTGGAGCAAGTCATGGTACCCCTCCAGGCCTCAGTTTCCCCGTCTACAATATGGAGGTTTAGACGCCTGCCTCCTGGGCCCGTGTGGAAGCACGGAACTGAATAGGGTTGGAACAGGGAAGCTCTTTGTGGTAAACTGTGGGGCACTGGGCACACTCTGTGGTAAACCGTGGAACGCTGGGCACACTCTGTGGTAAACCGTGGAGCGCTGGGCACACTCTGTGGTAAACCGTGGGGCGCTGGGCACACTGTGGTAAACCGTGGGGCGCTGGGCACACTCTGTGGTAAACCGTGGGGCGC